CCTACTTCCTAACAGCAAAGTCTTGGAAGACAAACGTTGGGACCACAACTACAGATAATTTGGGAAGACATTCATTACTGGAATCTTTTTCAATCTGGATACAAGCCCAGATTTCATATCTCAGTGGAATTGGTTGCCCTGATGGATGACCTCTCTTTTACTGTTCTGGCACACGACTTCTAGAACATTTTCTCCACATACTGTGATTAAAATGGATGTCACAGTGACTTAATTCCAAGTCATGTTTTTTATCTTGGTTCGGAATTTAAAGTTGTTTTGTTCTGTTGAATTTTTATTGCCTTTATTTTATTTATTTATCACATTGAGAAACCACCATTCTTACTGGTGTAAAAGTACAACGTTAAAAATATTAAAACTGAATATAAAAATTTAAAATAGAGGCAAGGATAGTTAAAAATTGATATTAAAAGGTAATTAAGACAGAGGAGGCCACCAACTAGCCCCGTAATTGCATGCTCCTCTTTAAGACCTAAGTGAGATGGCAAATCCAGATATCTTTCTCTATGTGTGTGTGTGTGTGTGTGTGTGTGTGTAAGAGTTTTAAGCTACCATTACAGAGAGTTTGTAACATACATACATACACACACACACACACACACACACACACACACATATATATATATATATAAAAAATGTATGCTATTCAGCTTTGTTCGGGTATTTTCCCACGTCATTGTAGTTGTGCTTTTACAGTTGTAGCAACGTTTCGGCAGAATCTCATCTGCCATTATCAGGCTTCTGTATTGTGTTCGTCTGTGAGTCAGACTTTCATAGTCTGTGAGTCAGACTTTTAAGTTTTAAATTCAGTTTTAAAAGCACAACTACAATGACGTGGGAAAATACCCGAACAAAGCTGAATAACATACATATAAGTGCCCGCGAAAACTTAAGAAAACATATAAAATGTATGTATGTATAGCACAATCCTAAAACAGTAAAGAAATACTTGAAATATATGTATTTCTTTAATATCTTAGGATTGTACTTATTGCATTTCATGATTATTTGTATTATTTATAGTTTACTATATTTGTATTGGTTGATGAAAGGCACTATGTATGTATGTATGTATGTATGTATGTATGTAAAATAGGTTGCACCAACGAGTACAAAATTTAAGATATTAATGGTAAATGAATTGAGAGAGAGGAGGAAGAAAAGAGGAATTGGGAAAAAAATCAGTTACATGTAGCAAAACAAGGCTAGAAAAACTTAAAGCTAAAGGAATTTTATATTTCATAAAAAAAATAGAGGAAGCCACTCAAAAAAGTATAACATAATTACATGAAGCACAATCAAAACAAAGTGAAAATAGTAGAAGAGTTAAGGATAATGTATAATTTTGAGTTGAATCATTAGAAATAGTACAGAGAAATATACAAGGCTTAACTGGAATAGGTATGGAAATTGATCAAAGAGAATGTATGTTTTTAAGATAGTAGAAGAGGAAAACGAGAACTATCAGAGAAAAACGAGAACAGGAAGCTGTAAGATAACAGGTGATGTTAGTATAAAATAAAAGATGTGAAAACAACATTAGTGCTGGGTATAATCAAGAGTATTGATGATTCTGAAATAAGGGCTCAATAATCTAAGAAGCCAAGACATAAATTATTACTATTAATGGATATTAATAATGGAGGAGGAAGAAGAAAATTATTAGCCCGGTAGCTAATAACCCATAAAAACAGAGAAATAAACATAGAAACTGCCAAACCAGAAAATGGATGAATGCAAAATAAATAACTTGAAGTCTAACCACTCAGAGGGAGAGGAGTGAATTGATCATTGAGGCAGAGGGGAACATTTATTGAATGTTGAATGAAAACCAGGTGAAACAAGAAATAATAATAATAAAATAGGAGTGTGAAAGAAAATGCACAGAAAAGCTGAAACAAAAGGCAACAGTACAGGAGAGCAATAAATAGGAGAGAAGAAGAAACAGAAGAACTTTGAATTTGCAAGGAACCATCTCGGAGGTAGTATTTAGCAGCTTCTGACCAGTTCTGGAGAACCGGTAGTGGAAGTTTTGAGTAGTTTGGAGACCCAGTAAATACCACCTCTGACTGGCCCCGCCCCCAATCTATTCTCCGCCTCCCGAGTCCCAGCTGATTGGCTGGACCTTCTTTGGTTGCCCTGCACAGGAGAACGGCGCTGGAAAGCAGGTTAGTGGGGTGGGGAGGGAATAGAGATTTTACATTATCCTTCCCCTGCTACGCCCACCAAGCCACGCCCACCAAGCCACACCCACAGAACTGGTGGTAAAAAAAATTGAATTCCACCACTGAGCCATCTGGTTTATGTTTATGTGAGCCATCTGGCTCACATCATACTTGTTAAGCAGGGAGACTTTTGTTATATAGTCAGGTCACCGACAGTGAAAGATTAAAACCTCTCCCTCCCCCACCCGACCCCGCCTTCCAAAAAATAGCTCCTGGCTAAAGAGAAGATCTCAACACAGATCGTGAGATTCCAGCCCAATTTCTTATACGTTGTATTACACTTCTTTTGTGTCCTTTTACAAGGAAGGAAAATAAAGTGCATAAATACTGCAGAAAAATATATTGGATATTCTTTTACAAGGCTTTGACGAGTGTGAGTTGCCCCCATAAATCAATCTGATCTATATCTGTCACCAAGGAATGAAAAATGGTTGTAAAACTTGAGCTAGAAATTCAGTATTAACAAAACAAAACAAAATCCCAGAAATAAATAGTGACTTCTCTCTTAACAAATCAACAACCTGTGTCAATTTATCAGTTTCAACTTTCTGATCTTGAGAAAAGTTTAGCAAAAATACGGGCAGTCCTTGACTTACGACCACAATTGAGTCCAAAATTTTCTGTTGTTAAGTGAGACATTTGTTAAGTGAATTTTGCCCCATTTTAGGACGTTTCTTGCCCCAGCTGTTAAGTGAATCACTGCAGTTGGTAAATTAGTAGCAACAGCAATAGCACTTAGACTTATATACCGCTTTATAGTGCTTTACAGCTCTCCCTAAGCGGTTTACAGAGTCAGCCTCTTGCTCCCAACAATCTTGGTCCTCATTTTACCCACCTTGGAAGGATGAAAGGCTGAGTCAATCTGGAGCCCAGTGGGATTTAACAGCCGATAGTCAGCAGAAATGGCCGGCAGTACACCACTCTAACCATTGCACCACCAAAGCTAGTAAGCTGGTTATTAAATGAATCTGGCTTCCCCATTGACTTTCGCTTGTCAGGATGTCACAAAAGGGGATCACATGACTTTAGGACAGAGCAACGGTCATAAGTATGAACCAAGCATCTGAATTTTGATCCCATGGTCATGAGGATGCTTCAAAGGTTGTAACTGTGTAACTGTAACTGTTCATAAGTCACTTTTTTCAGTGCTGTTGTAAATTAAGTGTTGTAAGTGCAGGACTATCTGTAATAACGACTGGTTTGACAGTTGATGACCTGGTCAGTTAAAATTCCATGCTTGGTCTATTAGCATAG